TAGATTTTGGCCCCTTCTCTGATTGAGTTCGACACCCCTACTCTAAGATGAGCTCAGTAACAAGGCAAGGAGCCCACTCTCACCACTTCTGCTCAGCAGAGGGTCGGAAGTTCTAGCCAGAGAATCAGGCCAGAAAAAGACATAGTCCCACATCTGTACAAGTGATGCCTGAACAAGAGTATTCTTTTTAAAAATATACATTTTGATTGATTTTACTGATTTCAGAGATGAAGGGAGAGGGAGAGAGAGAGAAACATCAATGATGAGAGTCACCGATCAGCTGCCTCCTGAATGCCTCTCACCGGCGATTGAGCTAGCAACCTGGGCATGTGCCCTTGACCAGAATCGAACCCGGAACCCTTCAGTCTGCAGGCCGACGCTTTACCCACTGAGCCAAACCAACCAGGGCAACAAGGATATTCTGTATGGCACTGTTTAGAACAGCGAGAGGCGGGAAACAACCGAAATACACCACAGTAATTAAATCAAGCGTGGACTAACCAGACAGAGCAATGCTATGTCGCTATTAAAAAGCAAAGAGCCCTGGCTGGGTGGCTCCGTTGGTTAGAACCTCATCCCAAACACCAAGAGGCATCCCAGACAGTACACCTTTGCCATGTCTAAGTAAGGTCCTTTCTCAGACGCCTCAGAGCCAGGGACCAGAGCAGAGACCACTCCACATGTCATTATTATCCTGTCCCCTGAGTACCATCTCTATGTGTGTACATGCTATTTTTTTTGTGTGTGTGTGGGTGTGTGTTTAAATATATTTTATTGATTTTTTTACAGAGAGGAAGAGAGAGGGATAGAGAGTTAGAAACATCGGTGAAAGAGAATCATCCATCAGCTGCCTCCTGCACTCTCCCCACTGGGGATGTGCCCGCAACCAAGGCACATGCCCTTGACCAGAATAGAACCTGGGACCCTTGAGTCCACAGTCTGACACTCTATCCACTGAGCCACACCGGTTAGGGCCGTGTTAACTGTTAATATCCTGTAGCCACCAATGGAAAAGAAGCCCGCGTTTTACTTTTTATCCAATCCCAGAAACTTCCCCCTTGGCGTTCTCCCGCCTCCCTGACCGACCACCTGTCTCCTCCTTTGGTTCGAGTGTATAAAATAAGCTGCAAAACCGCCATTCCCAAAAACGGAGATGTCGCTTCTGCCATTGCTGTCGGTTTGGCTCCCCTACCTTCATAAAAATCCTGGGCAGGTCTAGGCGTTTCTGAGAGACAGCTTGCAGACCGAGTTGCAGCCAAGGTAAACTTCAGGCTACCAGCCAACACTCAAAAACTAAATCCGGTAAAGAGTACCAGTAGCCCACATCCTCAGCACACCCGCGGAAAGTTTTGTTTTGTTTTTACCAAGTCTTTGCCCTGGTGTTAGCTTGCTTTGCCACTGGGACGGCTCTGCGTGAAGGCAGAGGGGAAGTTCTGGGAGCGGGGACTGGGGTCCCAGCTTTGGTCCAGCGGTGACACAGGGCCATCGTCTGGGTGGGTTCAAATGACAGAGATATATTCCCTCACTTTCTGGAGGCCTGAAGTCTGACATGAAGGTGTCAGCAGGGCCCTAGCCGGTGTGGCTCCGTGGATAGAGTGTCCGCCTGCGGACCGAAGGCTCCCAGGTTCGATTCCTGGTCAAGGGCATGGACCTTGGCCCTGGTAGGGTCGTTTGCAGAAGGCAATCATCGGTGTGTCTCTTACACGGAGATTTCTCTCTGTCTTTCCCTCTCTCTTCCACTCTTGCGAAAAACCAATGGAAAAATATCCTCAGAGGAAGGTCCGAGGGAAGAACCCTCCCTCTCCTCTCCCAGCTTTTGGTGGTTACCAACAATTCTTGGAATTCCCTGACTTGACTCATTATCCCAGGCTCTGCCTCTGGCGTCACGTAACATCTTTCCTGGAGGTCTACCTCACATTCATCTCTTCTTCCGTAAGGACGCCTGCCAAACCCAAGGAAGGCCCACCCACCGACTCCAGGGTGATCTCATCTTAGCCAGTGGCATCTGCTCTAACCCTGTTTCCAAATAAAGCCGCATGCTGCGGTCCCCAGCGGCACTCTTTTAGGGACACGAGTTTAACCCACAACAGACAGACAGGAAAGGCTTCCGAAGACGTTTTGGGCGTTTTCCTCAGAGGGGAAGGGAGTGTGATGGGATGTGAGGAGGGGCAGCTGGCCCTGCACCCACAGTCACCTCTGCCTCCGGCCGGGGAGCACCTCCCTGCTGGGGTCCGCCTTCATCGCGAGCTCAGGACCGTGCACGGGGCACACCTCACACTCATCTCACCCAGCCCATGAAACACGCCCCCGAAGGACATGTTATCCTCCCCACTTTACACATGAGAAAGGGAGGTCCTGACAGGTGAGATGCAGGCGTGCATTCATGTTTACTGCCCTTCGCAGACATTGCATTGTCGTCAACAGCAAGGAAGACCCTCCACCAGCAAAAAGCTAATGACTGGCTGAGGGCTCAGAGGATGGTTAGCATTTTGGGAAATCAAGTACTTTTTAATCAAGGTATGTACGTTGTTTTTTGTGCTTTTTTTTTTTAATGTTTTCATTGATATTTTATCTTTTAAAAAAAATATATATATATATTACTGATTTTATTCAGAGAGGAAGGGAGAGGGATAGAGAGCCAGAAACATCGATGAGAGAGAAACATCGATCAGCTGCCTCCTGATGTGCCCGAACCAGGAGACATGCCCTTGACCGGAATCGAACCCGGGACCCTTCAGTCCGCAGCCCAAAGCTCTAGCCACTGAGCCAAACCGGTTAGGGCTCATTGATATTTTAGAGAGAGGAAGAGAGAGGGATAGAGAGATAGAAACACTGATCAGTTGCCTCCTGCATGCCCCCGACTGGGGATTCAGCCTGAAACTTGGGCATGTGCCCTAACCAGGAATCAAACTGAGGACCTCTTGGTTCATAGGTTGATGCTCAATCCCTGAGCCATGCCGGCGGACTGTCCGTTGTTTTTAAAGACATAATACTATTGCACATTTAACAGATTATGGGATGGTGTAAACGTAAGTTTTATAGGCGCGGGGAAACCAAAAAGCGTTTGCTTCACTGCGGTAGTCTGGAGCCGCAATATCTCCCAGGTACGCCCGGAGTTAGTCCACAGTGACCAGCAAACGCAAGGGCTGAGGCCCGGGTCTACCTGCCCACCACGCAGGCAGCGGAGCTGGCGCCCCATCTGGAGACAAACCAGGTGGGCATAGTCTCTGGCCAGAGGCGCTGTAGGCCAGTAAGGTTTGGGGGAGGCACGTAGGATGGGGAATCTGGACGTACCTTCCCACCATCAGCTTTACATCCCCCCCGTTCTCCAGCGGGAGACCCAGTCGAGTGCTTCTTCTGGGCTCATGGCTTCTTAGAGAGAAGGAGAACCTGAAGGTGTTGGTGGGGGTACACCCCACCCCGCCTCCCGCCACACCCAGTTTGTGAGACTGGGAGGCGCTGGTTCTCAAACAGCTTTTTAAGATGGCGGAGCCCTTCCGGCTCAGTGGCTGAGCGTCCACCTATCAACCGGGAGGTCATGGTTTGGTTCTCTCTCATCATTGATGTTGCTCTCTCCTTTTCCCTTCCTCTCTGAAATCGTTAAAACGTATTTTCATTAAAGACAGCAGAACCCCGTCATTCAAAGAGGAAAAGAAAGAACCCAAAATGAATGAAAATGGTGCTGAAGTGGGGGGGGGGGCCCCTCCCCAAATGGCCACCCCAGCAAGTTCTCTCCCCGGAGAGAACAGTGACTAAAAGTGACATGGAAAAGCAAAAAGCAAGTAGGAAAAGGACACATACGAGGTTCAAATGCTCATTTGAAACAGTCTGGAGAGTGTCCCATTAAAATGCTTAAGGTGTGCTGGTGGCATTGTTTTGAGTGTGTGTTTTAAAAACTCGTTCTGAATTATTTCGGTTGGGATGCTATGGTGTCTGCCAAACATCTGTTTAAGAATGAAGTGTGTCCCTAGCTGGTTTGGCTCAGTGTATAGAGCACATGTGTCAAACACAAGGCCCGCGGGCCAGATCCGTCCCGCCAGGCCTTGCAATGTGGCCCGCACCGCGCTGTCATCACTGCACTCCGCTGCGTTTCCATCACAATGACAGTTTATGACTGTTCAGTAAACCATTCGGCCCGCGATTTAGGCTGGATTTTAGATTTTGGCCCCTTCTCTGATTGAGTTCGACACCCCTAGTATAGAGTGTCTGCCTACGGACTGAAGGGTCCCGGGTTCAATTTTTGATCAAGGGCACAAGCCCGGGTTGTGGGCTCTATTCCCAGTCCAAACCATGATTCCCTCTCATCATTGATGTTTCTCTCTCTCTCTGCATCCAATCGATGTACTTCTCTCACATCGATGTTTCTGCCTCTCTAAATAAATTATATATATATATATGGAGAGAGAGGGAGAGAGAGAGAGAGAGAGAGAGAGAGAGAGAGAGAGAGCGCGAGCGCGCATGAGGTGTGGTGGAGACCCTGTGCTGGCCCTGGGCTGGTGATGGCTGAGGGGTGGTTACCCGGGGCTTCGTTCTATCAGACCCAGCAAGTTGAATTTCTGTTCCTTCCATTTTTGTGCTCGTTTGAACTGTCCATCATAAAGTTTATTCTTCCCGTTAAAAAGTCTGCATGGTGCATACGGAGCAGCGCGGGCCCTGCCGTTCTCTAACCCGCAGTGGGAGGACGAAGCCCCTCAGGGACAGGTGCCTCCCAAGCCGGGGAGGCGGGGTGGAGGGGAGCGCAGTGCGGCTCCCACCTGAACCCCCAACTCCACCGGGAGCCCGCTGCGCCCCGCGGCAGCCACGGCGCCCCATCTGCCTGTCCGGCCACCAGCCCGTCCGCCCAGTCCACCCTGCCATCCACCCGATGGACACCAGGACCTCCCGCTCCAGAGCCCCTGGCATCCCCGCATCGCCGCACCCCCGCTCTGCTCGACACTCGCACCCGAACCCGCAGCCCCAGCCCGCGCGCACTCGCCCTCCTCGCCCTCCGCGCTCCTCACCTCCGCGCTCCGCGCCCTGAGCACCCTCCGCGCCCCGCGCCCTGCGCTCCGATAGAAACTGAAACCGGGCGCCAGGAGGCTCCAGCCCAGCCGCGGGCCCGGCCGCTGCTCGGAAATCACGTGGTTTCTGGGTGCCAGCCCCGCTGGGTGGGGGTGCGGGCGCCCCGGCGCGGGCTGGGCGCGGGCCAGCGCGCCTTCTCTCGCCCGGAGCGCCCTCGCGTTTGGCAACTTTTGCGGGACCCGGACCGCGAGGGCCCCCAGAGGCCCGGGGCGCAGGCCGCTTTCCTGAGTGCGGAACGGAGGCAGGGGAGGGTTCACGTGTTGGGGGGAGACACAGGATAGGGCGGTGGGGGCAGCTAGAAGGGTAAGAACCAGGAATTATGCTGCTAACCGCGGTGGCTCTGCTCTGAGTGGAGGAAGCGCATGCTAGCCTGGCTGAGGGTTGCTGGCGGAGGACGTGGGAGCCAACCCCTGGCCTGGGGTCCCTCCTCCTTTTCCCAGAACTGCCTTTCCACGGGGAAGGATTTGCAACCTTGTGGCTGAGGCGGTCTGATCCCTGAGGTGCCCCAATGGACGACCCCCCCACCTCCGCCTGCATTGCCTGTGACCTGTGACCGTGATACCTGCCTGCTGTCCATGCCCGGATTCCTCCTTTCCCATGGAATCTCTGCCTTCTGCCCAGAATAAGCACCTGCCCCTTAGGCGGGGTGGGGAGGGTAAGAACAGATTTTTATGGATGACCTGCTGCTCTCCCATGCTGCCGGAATAAACGTTCACATAAGAACTCAATCTTGTCAAAACCGGTTTGGCTCAATGGATAGAGCATCGTCCTGCAGATGGAAAGGTCCTGGGTTCAATTCCGGCCAGGGGCATGCGCCTTGGTTGTGGACACATCCCCAGTGTGGGGTGTGCAAGAGGCAGCTGATTGGTGTTTCTCTCTCATCGATGTTTCTCTCTATCCCTCTCTCTTCCTCTCTGTAAAAAATCAATAATTTTTTTTTTTTTTTTAAAGACTCAATCTTGTCTCTGCTGAATTGTCATAAGCAGTGGCAGGCAGCCGGATGGTGGGTTGTCGGGTGTCAGACTCACCTGGGTGCGCCTGCATGGGGACATGGGCTGATTCCACTCTCCCTGCCTCCTCAGGAGGGAGGGGACCAGATGGGACAGGAGGGGACCGGATGGGACAGGAAGGGACCGGATGGGACAGGGAGGAGATGCTGGCTGTGCAGGAGGAGGGACTGAGAACCCTTCCTGTCCTGGGTGCTCTCTACAGAGAAAGGGGGGGATAGCGATGGATCTTGATGATGGAATTCTTGGCCCTCTCACCGGTGCTAAACATGCTCTACAGATTCATCTCATCTAATCCTCAGACGAACCCTGAAAAGGCAGGTGCAAGCATCACCCTGCTTTGCAGATGTGTACACGGAGGCCCAGAGAGGAGAACGGTGAAGGAACCTGCCCAAGTCACACCAGGGAACAAGCGGAGGAGGAGGAGGCCCTAAGTCCTGGCGGGAAGGAGCCGCCTGTCCCTGCCCACAGCCTGTGCCCGACATCGGAGGTGCCAGGGAGCGGCCTGCTGAGCCACCCACCCGCTCGGGCCTCTGTGGCACATCCCTGTCCCCGGGGCGTAGGATCAGCTTCTCCTCGGAAGAGGAGGCCTGGATGGCAGCCACCATGGTACCCCGGGCGCTGCTCAAAGCACAAAGCATCCCTCTCCTCCCCTCTCCCCTCTCCCCTCTCCTTTACTCCCCTCTCCTGCTTAGTGGGAAGCAATGGGTGCCCAGGGGGCCTGCGGTCATGTCTAGACGGTGGTCCTCTGAAACCCCGGGAAGTCCCCAGCACCTGTGGCTTTGGGGTCACGGGACACTTTCTCTTCTGGGTTCTGTTTACCCACAGCCCCAACAACCGCCTCCTGGTGGTTAAGGGCAGTGTCCACTAGACTTTCCCAGTTGCTCACTTCCTCCCCCTCCAAAGCGGAACCAGCACAGGACGCCATCCGCCATCCGCCATCTGGGCCAGTTGGGTTTATCGGCGCCTTGACATCCGGGAGACCAATCATGTGGGGTGGGCGCTACCCTACGTGTGGGCCCTCGACCAGCAGCATCGCCCCTCCCGGGAGGTAACTTGGTTCGAAGGTCTGGGTGGGTCTGGTTCTGACGCACGCCCGGGTTCGAGGCCTCCGGTTCTAGGGAGCTTCCAGGTGGCCTCCTGAGTGTGAGTTTGGAGTTATACATGCACTTCCCTGCCCACCCGCCCGTTTTCTTCCCGGCTCCGGGCCCAGCAGTGGTCTGTAGCCTCTTGTTTGGCGAGTGGTGTCCACCTCTGCCCATCAGACGCTACGCTGTATGAAGTCAGAAACCAGAGTCCCCGCCCAGGCTCAGCCCCTAAGCGTTCTTCCCGGCCCAGGACACACCCTCCCGGCTCTCTCCCTGCCCCTGCCAGCAGCCTCCTGCGCACACAGCTGTCTTGGTGAGCAGGCTCCTAAACGTGTTTACGGCTACGGCCAGGCTCAGAGCAAGAAGGGAGGGCCCAAGGAGCCAGGAACAAGGGGGCTCCTGGAAGCCAGGGGCGAGGGGACCAAGCAGGACATCCTGGAGGGGGTCACAGGTGTTTCTTAGGTCCCCTGAGCTTTTTTTTTTTTTTTTTTTTTTCCTCTGAGCTTTTTGGATTCCTAGATACCGAAAAGGAAGCCAACGGAAGAATCCAAAAATTTCAGAGCATTTTAAAAGGCTAAATGCAACATGCTATCCTGGATCCTGCCCCCCTCCCCCGAACCCCCCCCCCCCCCAAAAAAAAAGTCAGTGGAAAACTGGTGACATTTAAACACAGTTTGGAGTTTGGTTAAGAGCACAGGAGTGTAATCTCTCCGTTATGACAAGTGAACCGTGATTCGAGAGTCGCAGATTTTTTTCTTTATGCGTTTCTCTGTTTCCCTTGCATTACGTTTGCCTCTGGTTTTCACGATTAAGAAATATTGACATGTCTCAGTGGCTGAGCATTGACCTATGAACCAGGAGGTTGAGGTTCGAGTCCCGGTCAGGGCACAGGCATGGGCTGTGGGCTCCATGCCCAGTGCAGGACATGCAGGAGGCAGCTGATCAATGCTTCTCTCTCATCACTGATGCTTCTAATCCTCTCTCCCTCTTCCTTCCTCTCTGAAGTCAATTTAAAAAATATATATTTTTTAAAAAACATGAGCCACAAAAAGTTGCCTGGCTGGCGTGGGCTGAGAAATGATATCCTCACAGAAGACCGGACGGTGACAGCACAGTGGGACAGGACATCTGAGGCTCTGGAGGCTGTGGCCAGGTCCTTGGGTCCAGAGGGTGAGAATGTCATGGGAAAGCTGTGGAGGGGGAGGGGGGGGCATGGGATGGGGTGACCCATGGCCAGGACAGGGACCCGTCAGAGTGGTGGCCACTGCCCCGGAGATTGGAGGGACGAAGCCAGCTCAGAATTGTCAGGGCGGGGAGGGGGAAGAGGAAGCAGCCGGGGCCGCTCTGAGGCTGGAGCCCCGGGCCCCGCCCTGCCATCCTCTCCCTGTGACCTGGGCATGACGCCTGCCCCCTCCGGCCTTGGTTTCTCTGCTGGGCCACTGAAGCGACCCCTGGCCCTGCTCACCGCCCAGGGTCTGTGAGGATGCCTCCTGAGCTTGTGGTGCCTTCCTCATCCGCACCATGGGGACAATAACGGTGCCTACCTGGTAGCCTGGTTCTGAAGATTCAATAAGAGGAGGCTTAGGTCAGGGCCTGCTGCCTGGCCGACCTCCACTGGGCGGCGCTGTGGCTTCTAGGTGAGGCTGTTCCTGCAGCGATGCTTCTGCCCTGGGCGAGGGGCAGGTGCAGCCCAGATGGCATAGGCTGGGCTCCGCCTTAGGAAGCAGAATGTTTCCCAGATAATCTCAAGGGACAGGGAGGGCTCTTGATCAAAGAGACGCACAGGGCTGTGGTCTGAGATCTCGTTGGAGGGGTGGGGAAGGGAAGCTTGCCCTGAGGAGGAATCAGATGGGGGAAGGGAGAGGGAAATATTCTGGGCATGTGCAAAGGCCCTTTAGAAGGAGCGTGGCCAGCACAGGAAATGGGCGGGCTGCAGGGGCGGGCAGGGTGACCTGAGGTGGCCTGGGCCCGTCAGCCTAACCTCCTGTTTGCAGACAGCTGGGACGGGCTCCAGCCATGAAGCCAGCGGCTGCTTTGCAACACGAGGCTTCACCTGGTGCACAGCTGAGCTCTCACAAAAGGAAGGACCGTGCTAGACGCTGGGGCAGGAGGGGGAACCCAGAGCCTGGGCTGTAAGCACAGCGACCCAGAGAGACGAGGCCAGGATGTGGGTTCAGACCACCGTCTGAGGGAGGGAAAGATGTGAGGGGAGGCGACGGGTTAAAATATCGCCCCTCCGTTAGAAGGAGACGACACTTTACCCGCCCCAGGAAGCCACAGGAGCGTGGGGCTGGGGCGGGGCCGCTAGAAAGAAAACCCCAGCAGGTGCACATGCAGCTCTGCCGGCTGTGCCGTCCTGCCCGCTGGCACAGGTCGTCCTGGGCCGAGAGATGAACCTAACACCCCCCTTTCTTTCCCTCTCCCCCAAACGTGTGCGTGATGCAACCCGTGGGGCTCCTGGCCTAAGAGCAAAACCACTCTAAACAGACGGAAGGAACCCAGGAAGCCGAGTCTGTCCACAGCAAAACGGAACTCCACTGACCAGGAGCTTGCAAGTAACCAAATATCACAACCCACACCAGAGACCATCCACCACGTGAGAGACCCAACAACCAACCAATGAGAGGGCAAGGCCCCCAAAGAACAGCCTGGTAGGAACAACAGAGGGCACAGAGCACAGAGCAGGGGCATCATGGGGGCATCAGCGCTGCCACCTACTGGCCGCCTTTCCGGGTGTAAATGGCAGAGCTTCGGTGGTCGCAGGGTGGTCATGAGCACAGGTCCTGGGCGTGGCCTTGGCCAGGGAGGCGGGGACTTGCGAGGAGAACCGGAAGTACCACGCGCAGTCTGGGCCAGAGGAGGGGAGGAAGGAGTGTCTGCGGACTTCCTGTGGATGAAGTGAGCCCGGAGAAAGCCGGATGCGGCCTGGACCCCTCTGCTGCCCTGTCCC